TAATATTCAGTGTATCCGGGTTGTATAGACCAGAGTTTTGGGGTTTTGGGTTTTAAAAGCCTTACTCGTAAAAATGAGTAGAAGATAATGTAAGAATCATTAAGGTAGAGAAAAAAAAATGAATAAAACAAAACAGTTGTTATGTTATGTGTTCTAGATATTTATATCTCTAAAAAGATTTAAAAAAAAAATATTAAGTATTTTGTTTAAAAAACAATAAATAACTTCTGTTTATTGAATTTTAAGAATTTGTTTATTAGTTTGAAATGAAATAACTCATATATATATCACTATATAACTTCAAAGAAATGCTTGTATAGCAACTAATGTGGATGTATATGCACACATGTAAAATATATATATTATATATATATATATATATATATATATATATATATGTAGACATGTTGGAAAATATATTATATATCTTACCGGTCATTGTTTTATTTGAAAAGGGGTAGTGCATTGCATCCTAAAAGAGCTTTAGTGCCTACCGGTCATTGTAACAACACATTAAATATTTTTCTAATCTCCAGTTCGTTTTGAGGTTTAAAACACTGGTATAGACAATCCTTTAGTATATTCATTCTTACTTTCCATTTAATTTTTTTTCTTTGTATAATAATAACACATATGCAAGATTTTGTATTTAGAGAACTAAATTGTATCTGAAATGAAATATTGAGAGATACTTTTCTCTTCTTTGCTTCTCAGTGATTTTCTATTTTCTTAAATTCCCTCAATAATACTATTTCATTTATCTTCACTTCTCACTTCTCACTACTTATCTACATTCTTATATGTCTTCAGATGTATATGTTATGGCAATATAATAATATTGTTATAATTGCGTTGATTCCAAACGAAAGTATGTATTCTTATAAAGCTTGACAATAATATAATATAAATATATATTGTATATAGTTTTTATTGATTGTGTGGATATAAACTATGTAATTTTATTGCGTATTTTGGGCCATTGTACTTTTCCATATTCCATATTACCTCTGTTGCGCCTCATCTTTAAAGGTCATTGCGTCTCTTAGATTGTCGTTTAGTAGATACATTCATAAATAAAATATACAACTGTCTTTGTTCAATATCCTAGACTGTGTTTATAGTATACTGATACTGATGATGTATCAATGATGAAATATTATCGCTGACTCATGAGTTTTCTTGTTGCGTCATCATAGCTACAGTGCAAAATTATCAGATGACGTATATATAAACAAAAAGATAACCGCATTCAGCACGTTCGTTTAATGAAATGTGGTATTTCGAAATATGTGCAATCTATCTAATGGCGCTCTATTAGAAATACCTTATAGTTTCAAAATAGATAGTTAAACAGCTGTGAGAATTAGAATTCAAGTTTAGAAAAAAAAAAACTAAGTAATTACTTTTTTTGTATAAAATTATATAAAAGTAAAAACATCATTTTTAATTTTTTTCTTTCAAAGTTGTCCAATCACAGTGGATTATTTACTCTATTTAAAAAAAATTTTTTCTAATAAACCAGCATATTTTTTTTATAAATTTTATTTGTTTTGTGTTCAAGTGAAGATTCTTTAGAGGAATAACAAAAATCAAGACCATTTAGTTCTAAACTTGCAACATCGACAACTAAAATCCCAGCAGCTTGATTTCGATTATTGATTATTCAGCACGTAAGTAGCTTGAAGTTAAGACAAAGATACTGCTGGAACAACACATCGAAGGTCTAAAGTGCGTTAAATTATACACAATGCTCCGTAGTTTTTTGAGATTTGTTGTAAATATAATTTTTTTTTCTCAATATTTTTGCAAATACATATATATACAAATATATATATTATCTCAAGCAACTGACTAAAGAAACGACAGGCTTAAAGGTTTGAGTGGAGTTTTTCTTCGCGAGCTTAAAAGATTAAATTTGATCAGCGATTTAGGTAAACAAACTCCAGTTTTTTTTTCCGTCACGTTTTGTCAAGAAAACTTATACAATTCTCTTATAATTAATTAATTTAATTATAATTAATAGTTATTATATATAACAACCTGAAATGAAAATAAATTATTAGCTCATTATTTTTTTTTTTTATTTTAAAATTCAATTTTTTTAAAATCTATATAAAAAATTTTTAATTTCTTGTAGTTCAAGCAAAATGGATTTTATATGCAGTTCGGGAAGTTCTAATAACTCCAATGGGTACAGTGAACAAATAACCAGTAACAAGGTTGAAAATGAGAAGACAGCCGCGAAGGGCATTACATCGGAAATCAAAGCAATATATCGGTAAATATAAATAAAAAAAAATAATCACTAGTTATAAATCAAATTAAAAACGCATTGATATCTGTGGACTTCAGTCTACAAACTGTCACTTTATATTTTAATATATTAACTATATATAAACTATATGTAATTATGTTGTTGTTGTGGTTTTTTGTTAGTGCTTTCGCGCACTTTTACTCTTTGGTGGCTGTGGGGTTTATCTCTGCCCTACACTAAGCTTTAACTATACTGGAATTCATATCGTTTATTTAACGTTGAACTGGTGACAGATTTTAGTTCAGCTTATCAGTGGGTCCTGAGGTGGACTTGAGGTTTGTTACGGCAGGATTGGGCAGCGTATCAACTTTTGTCAATAAATAAGTAAATAAGTAACTTATATTTGACATTTAAATTTCTGAAGTATTTCTACATAAAATACTTACTAGACATTTACACTGGCTAGACTTTGGCAATATTTTGATATTTGAATGCAAATATGTATTATTTTCGAATTTACCTGCAAACAAGAATATCTATGTGCCACTGAAATGGTGAGAGTATAGCCAAAAATCTTGTAAAAATCAAGCCAGTGTAGACTCAGTCAAATCAATCCATAATCTTCATATATTTTATAATTAATAAGATTTTATTTGATTTAAAATCTATCGAAACTACAGTTATTATATGATGCCAAATTAGGTGCATACGAATGGTGTTCTTACTTACCGACACACATAATTAAAAATAGATAATTCTTCCAAAATAGTTCAGATTGAAAGTTTCATCGGACACATTAGGCTGTGGACATAGAAGCTAATATTATTTCTTGGTTTCAGATTTACAACCGGATTTGCTTCTTGGCAATACATATGGCACATGTTACTAAGATAATCAGATGTATCACTCTGCATTATCTTTAAAATGTAAAACTTGACACAAGCCTCTATAGTTCCTAAGAAACGTGTTAACATTTTTAATTTTAATATATTTGAAGCACCTATCTTCCAACTAAAGGGTCATTAATTTTGTGGTTTTTAAAGTAAATGTAAATAAATATACATACTTCACCAGCGATCATAAAGTATAGATGATTTGTCAGCACACAGCTGAAAATAGCGACGATAATATGAGGATCGTCCATATGCATACATTCCTAAACGTAACGCTCCAAAAGAAGTCGAACTCGCATAATCTTTGAGTTTGATTCACATCTCCAAAATGTAAACTTCTTGTGCAAAAAAGTGAAAATAAAACGTATTGTGTGGCTTGTCAACCCGTTCAGTGGCTTACTGTCGCTAGTTGGTAGTACCGAGTGCTTTTAGACTTTAGTATTAACGACAGGTGATTAATTACCTGATCTTTCCACCAAAGATGCAGACGTTCTCTACCGCGTCTTTTACCAGCCGGTACCGAATCAAACACCTTTCTAACAGGAGAATTCTTTTCCCATTCGCACCACATGACCCAGCCTGCGAATTATGTCTATGTCAAGGTATAGCTTATACAGATCATTGTTCCATCTAATTCGATAGTCTTTGTTAACGCGTAACCGAACTACAGACCTTAAGAAAAACCTTTCTCTTGAATGCTCCTAACGTCCTTTTATAATTGTTGGTAATTATTCAAGCTTCTGAACCATACAACAGGATTGGCATAATAAGAGACTTGTAGACCGGAATTATAGCTGTAGCGATCATAATTAATGATTTTTGTTAGACCCTTGTCATTTTTAAAAAAGCTGGCCTATCAGGTCTTTAGACCAAATGCCACACTATACAGTGAGTTTTTGTGAATTAAATTATTTTTCGGAAGTTAATTTTCCTAGTTGACATATTCATCGTTGAAGAAAATGCAATGAAAAAAACATTCAATTTATATATTACTTTTTCAGAATTGAAATATATTCAGAGTTTTTTAAACGATTCAAATTGTAAAATAGTCAGTTTTCGACCACTCTTTCGACCATAACTCTTTATTAATTCAGTGTGAAACTTTAAAAGGATGAACAGTATTTTGATGAAGAAAAAGTGTATATGTAATTTTAATATATTCTCATACTTATTTACAGATCTCTGTATATTGTGGCAAAGCAGTTGGATGATGGAAAGAAGAATCTCTCGTCTATAGCACAACTTTTCGCTCCTGCTATACAGCAGTTACGTGTGAAATTAGTAAATCTATGCAAGGATCTTGTTTTTAAAGATCATCAAGTCATCGGAAAGAAGGCTCGTGAGATTATGTGGCGTAAAGGTTACTATGAGTTTATTGCGTATGCTAAACGGAATTGGCATAGAGAATATAAAGATGCCTCACCTAGTGAAATACAGGAAGCGTATAAAAAATTGGAGTGCTTCTTGCTCGGTGGTATAAGGAATTATAAACGCGTTTCAGCTAAAATGGAAGAGGTTTACGATTTGGACTTGAAAAATTTAATTGACTTCAAAGCTATCAGTGACAGCATAAATTATGAAATTTCTGATAACAATTTAAATGATTGCTATGATACTGATATGATTGATATGACTAATATCGTTGCGGATAAAAGTTTGGAAGCAATATCCTTTGCTTTAGACACAATACACTCGTCATTGCTAAGTTTGGGTGACTTGCATCGCTACTTTTTGGATTTCCATATTGAAAATCGAATTCATATGCCCAAGCAACAAGCAGCTAAATATTATTTTGAAGCATTTAAACTTAACTCATCAGTGGGTATGGCACAAAACCAATTAGGAACCTTATATTATGGTCAAAACTATGATTTGGATTCTATTTATCATTACTTGTATTCACTCGTATGCATAATGCCATTTGAATTAAGTGAAAACAATGTTTGTAAGCTATTCTCGGCTCATTCTGCTTATTTGGGTGGATTGGATCCAGAGAAAATCGAATTTTGCCTAGAAGATTTTTATGCTCGTTTTTATTTAGTAGTTGATATTTTTTTCTTTGACAAAGAAGTACCAGATTTTAATTCACTCTGTCACTGTGTATTAGTAGATTTACGTAAAGTGCTTTGCTCAAAAGCCTTCAACATCACTGACATGAGTATTTTTAAAATCGTTTCAATACTTTTCTTCTGTTTGTCAAAGCTAAAAATGATCAATTCTCAAAAGGTTTACTCATTGAACGCGTTTCTCGTGGCTGTATGCTCTGATTTAATAGATGCCTGCATTGTGAATTTGGAGCAGACAATTTTGACGAAATCTTCAGAAATTGAGGACTTTCAAACAATGTACATGAAAAAGTTTGACGAGTTCGACATGAGTGTAAGGAAATCGCGTAATGAGTATAAAAATTGGATGGCACATTTTGACGAAAGTGATCGGAAGGAGAAAAAGCCTATTAAGTTACTAAGCCATAGAGGAGTATCATCTGATTCGAGAGAAAGTCAATTATCGCATGATGAATTCGTGCTTAAAACTCAGGATAGCAATAAACAATCCATGGATGGTGGTGATAAAAATCTTGATCCAATTTCTACACGTTCAAGCGATGAGGCCAAGGAAAGTGATTTGAAGACACCACTCTCGTGCAAGAGTAAAAAACGCGGTATGAAATTAAGACGGCGCCGTCGTAAAATAGTTGAGTCAGATGATAGCTCATGCTATGACACACAAAGTGAAATGGATACAGATTTCTCAACTGATGAGGAAGATTATACTGATCTAAGTTCTAACTTCGATACTGATTTTAGTGATATTGAAGCTGATCCTGTGGGTTTTGATAGCTATGATAGATATGACCGATATGAACGTGACAATTGTGGTATGTGTGCGAGTTTATTAAAATTAATAAAAGTTAAAAAACATTTTCTAATAAATTAATACCAATTTTCTTTTAGATGATGAATTCATTCAAAACAGCATTAATTCTGATATTAAATCTAAACTGCCCATCATGACTCCGACTTGTAAAGACAGCAATGCAAATGATGATATGCTCACTTTCTCTGATAATGACGAAGTTGTTGTTGAAGAAGAACATATTATATATCCAATTAATCCTGAAAAAATACAGCAAGTGCAGCGTACTAATTCAGCAGAGGTTGATTCGGAAGAGTTGCTCCATAGCTTTGAAGTTTTACAGTTAAGTAGCAATAACGGAGCATTGAACTTTAAATGTTCGGACATTGAGGAGGTTGAAAATGATAATGCTAATATACGCAAAAATAAGGAAAACAGAGATGTGTCACCTAAATATTCAGAAGAACCACCCAAAAAGCTTGTATATCGTAATAAATATATGAAGATAAATCCAAACGTAGTTGTCAATTTCGCAATAAATGAACCAACCTTACGGGCCTTAAAAATTTTGTTCGATTGGTTGCGTTTGAACCACGAAATATTGTTTGGATGTTATCACTCTAATCCAGAGTTCGTACATAAGATTATGAAATTGCTTAATTATTGCAATATTGATATATTTACGCGTAAAGTATACTTTGAGAGAGAATTCTTGCAGATTCCTAATGTACGCACAGCATTAACTGATTTATTTGATGTACGTGCTAATATACCCTTGTCGGAAGATTTTGTGTTTAAAAATTTTGACATTTTCCAAGCAACTCAGATAACATTTGATTGGGAAGTTACTCAACGTGAAAATATCACCAATGAAGAAGAGAGTATATTGCGCATTTTTAAAATGGTTGATTTTGGCTTCTTCATATGCAAACAAAAGAAGTTTAGCTATCGTTTCTGTGTTAAATCTCGTCGTTTCACTGAAACGGCTAAAAAGAAGCGTGAGGAGAAGAAGTCTTCCCGGCGACGTGAAAGACGTACTGCCAAGAATGCTACTCGCAAACGTACCGAAGGACGTACTCGTCGCTATTCTGATCGTAAAAATGGTATTATACGTAAAAGTTATACTAGCAACGAAGAGAAGGATACAGTTGAAGAAGGCAAAAAGTTGCCACGTAAAGGTTATCTACGTAATCGTAATTCTGAAAAATTGGCAAATGCAAGTGCTTCCGGCGCTACCAATACATCAGCGTCAACAACTAATAGTGCTATTTGCGAGAAAGTGACAATGCAGTCCAGCAGTGGAGCTGACGAAGAGCGTTCAGAAACGATGAATCGTAAATGCGAAATAATGGGTAAATTATGGTTAAAAAATGAAGTAGCTACACTTGAAGAGGAGGTAAAATTATATTCTAATATTAATTTAGATACTATTTAAGTTTTTAATAAAAATTATTTTGTTTAGTTGCGTTTAAGTAGCGAATCCATTGTTACTCCGTTTATTGTCTTGGACACCAAGGCTTTGACAGAATTTACTGACGTTGTTAAAAATTTATTAAAAACTAAGCAATTTATTATACTTATTCCCAATTCAGGTAGGTCGAATAAATTATTTTATTAAAAACATGTTATATATATGTACTTTTATTTAAAAATGTTTTACAGTAATTAATGATTTGGATGACTTAAAAAAGCGTAGTGAAAACGCTCGCAATGTTATTCGTTGGTTAGAACATGAGTTTACTGTTGGTAATCGCTTTTTACGTGCCCAGCGTGACAATGAAAATTTGCCCTTACCTCTTCTAAAATTGCCAAAGAAAATGGGTAAGTACTTAGTCGAGTTTTATCTGGTCTTTTTGTAGGAACACAAATAAAAATCAAATTAATTTGTATTCACAAATAAAGTCCAGACCTAATTAACTTCTGAATACATATATTAAACTGTTATAAAATAATATAAATAGAAGTTGACACTTATATATATTATTTTTATTATTTTTTATTTTTTATTTTATTATTTTATTATACATATTATATATTTTATATATTTTATATATTTTATATATTTTATATATTATATATATTATATGTATTATATATATTATATATATATTTTATATTTTGTATATATTATATATTTTATATATATTATATATTTTATATATATTATATATTATATATATTATATATATATATTATATATTTTATATATTTTATATATTTTATATATTTTATATATATTATATATATTATATATATTATTTATTTTATTTATTTTATATATATTATATATTTTATATATTTTATATATTTTATATATTTTATATATTTTATATATTTTATATATATTATATGTATTATATATCTTATATATTTTTTATATTTTATATGTATTGTACATTTATAATATGTTCGTTATAAATTGTGATGAATTTTTAATTTGAAATGATTTTCTTCATTTAGATCGGGATACTTTCACCTTCATACAAATTGTAAACTTTTGCAATCATCTTGTGGCAAACTACACCGATGGGAAATGCCCTGAGTTTGGCATTAATGTTGTTACATATTTATCTGGCGATACAATTCCTGAAAAACAACGTCATATAACAAAATTTTGTTTGGCCGGACTTTTGGATGCCATACCTATACGTTATGAGCAAATATCAAACTATTATGCTAAATTAAAATTGAATAAAAAATGAGAGAACACAATGTTAAATGGGTAAAACGCCAACTGGGAGCGTCGTGCTTAAGTTCTTCGTAAACAAAACGTATAAGAAGTAAGGTTAAAAATTATAACAAAAATTTTAAAAAAATATTACAAATATTAAAATCACCGCAAAAAACAACAACAACGACAAAATACGGTTTAAATGGGTTAGTTAGAAGATAACGGAAGCGAGAATAATTTCGAAAATTCAACATACGTCAGCAACCTTCACAATATATATACAATAACTTGTGTATATATATTGTACTTTAGCATAAACAAAGGAGAAATTCTTCAAGAAAAATTTATTAATTTTTTCATAAAAATAATAATCCTAACCGAAACGTACGTAAACTTTGTAGCAGTAACCGCAGCCACAGCCACAGCCACAGTAGCGACGTTAGAAGCGATTGCAGTTTTATTTTTACAACAAAATTACTATTAATTTATATTAGTACTTACATTTGATATCACACATTAAATTATACACATATAAACGTACATATATTGGTATGTGTTTTGTAATAAAAATTATTTATTTAATACAGAACGTATTAAACAAAAAACATGTGCGTACTTACAATGTGTATGTAAGAAATTTTGCTTGTGTGTTGAGCAGTCAAGTTACGTCGTTACAATACGTCACGTTAGTGTTTATGCTAATGTATTAACAGAAACTGCGTTTACATTACAAGCTGCCAAGATTTTCAAATGTGCAGTTTAATTTGTCGTTTATAAGTAGAATTTTGTTGCTCCTTATAAAATAATAATTTCTTTTCGGCGAAAGCAAAAAAGTAAAAAAAAAATCTTAAAAAAATCACAAAAATCAAAAAATCAAAAAAAAAATGAAAAAATGAAAAAAAATCATTTAACAAAAAAAAAAAAATATGTATACATACTGAAAGTAAGCAGAATATTTACTTAAATATAACCTAAAGGAACACTGAAAAAAAATTTTGCTTTTCAAATTTTCATTTCATGTAAAAATATATAATATGGCAACGCATTTAATTATTTATATTTATTTATTTTTGTACATTTATTTTACATTTTTTTTATTATTTTTTTTTTATTATTTTTTTTTTATTATTTTTTTTTTATATTATTTTTTTTATTATTTTTTTTTTATTTGTTATTATTTTTTTTATTATTTTTTTTTTATTATTTTTTTTTTATTATTTTTTTTTTTATTATTTTTTTTTTATTATTTTTTTTTTATTATTGTTTTTTTATTATTTGTTATTATTTTTTAATTATTATTTTTTTTATTATATTTTTATTATTTTTTATTATTTTTTTATTATTTATTATTTTTTTTATTATTTATTTATTATTTTTTTTTATTATTTCCTTATTATTTAATTATTTATTATTTATTTATTATTTTTTTTTATTATTTACTTATTATTTAATTATTTATTATTTATTTAATTATTTATTATTTATTTAATATTTTTTTTATTTATTTATTTGTTTTTTAATAAAATTTAATTTAATCGGGCTCAGGGTCGGTTATTTAATAATAAAATTGTTAATAAATAACACATTAAATTTTTTTATTATTAATCAACAATTTGAGTTTCAAATAACCGAGCTTAAGCCCAGTTAAATTAAATTTTATTGAAATGTAGATTGAAATAATAATTATTTATTTATTGTTTCATTTATTTTTTTATTTATTTTTATTTATTTATTTTATTTATTTATTGTTTTAATTATTTTTTTGAATTTGTTTTTTTATTTCTGTTTTTATTTTTCTTATATCTTTTATTTTTGTTTTTTTTTTTTATATTTTTTATATATTTTTTATATATTTTTTATATATTTTTTATATATTTTTTATTTTTTTTATATATATTTTTTTTTATTTTTTTTATATCTTTTTTATATCTTTTTTATTTTTGTTTTTATTTTTTTTATATCTTTTTTATTTTTGTTTTTATTTTTTTTATATCTTTTTTATATCTTTTTTATTTTTGTTTTTATTTTTTTTTATATCTTTTTTATTTTTGTTTTTATTTTTTTTATATCTTTTTTATTTTTGTTTTTATTTTTTTTTAATTTTTTTTTATTTTTTAATGGAAATGTTTGAACCTTAAAATGCATCTATTATAAATTTTTAGGAATAAAGAAAAATTTCCATCAAATTATTCATTCTAAGAAACAAAGATTAATTGATGTCAATAGATTGTTTTATTTCTTAATTACTTATTATCTTTCAAATTTAAAATAAATATTTTGTTTAATTTTAATATTTTTTCGATCTATTCCATTAATTTAACTAAATTCAAATTTTAATATACAAAATCGAATTTAAAATTATATTAAAATTGAAAATTGATATATGTCATATATATATTTTTACATTTAAATGAAATTGCTTTCTAACAAAATATGCTTAAAAATTTAAAAAATGCTAAAAGTGCAAAAAGAGGAATCTAATTTATATATACGAAGAGGAAAATTTTTTATTTCGATATTTTTATTTTTATTACATTATTGAATTTACAAGAAAATAATTGTTTAAATTTGAACTCAAATATAGAATTCTCTCAAATGCAATATAAGTAAAATGAACAAGTTTTCTTTTGTTATTTTTCTTTAAGCTTAAGAAAATTCTTGGATTTATTCATTTTTCCTTTTCTCAATTAAAAATCATATATCCTTGATATATTATTTGTTATATTTCATATACTTTTTTTTATTAATAAATAAAATAATATTTGTAATTGTTGTTTTTTTTTTTACATTACTTTTATATCTTTTATTATTTTTTATATTATAAAATAATTTTTGACTTTTTGTATTTATTTTTTGCAAAAAAAAAAATAATATTTAGATATATATATATATATATAAATTTTTGTTTTGCACATTTGTTTTGTATGTTTCAATAATTTTTGTTTTGGATGTTATAATTTTTTTTATTTCAAATATGAAACAGATTTATTTTGCAATTAAATTAAATTAATAAAATTCAAAATTAGATACTAATTAATCAAAAGATAAATTCATCAAATAAAACATACAAAGTTAATTACAATTATTTTAATAAAAAAATTTTATATTTCAATAGCTTCCATAAAAACAATATATAGTATATGTTTTTATATATAAAAATAACAGGAAAATTATATTTTTATATTAGTTATATAAAATTATGATTATTATTTTAAATACATTTTAACGTATATATATGTATATATTAGAAAAGAGTTAAATTAATTTTATTAAAAAAAATTTATTGTACCAACATTGAAAGTTATATAGTTAGATATAATGGAAGATAGAATGGAAATTTTGACTTGTTAATGAAACTTTGCTCAGTTTTTACATTACTTTTAAAAAAAAATAAAAGTATTTAATCAAAATAAATAGTTATATAATTTAGTTAAAATTATAAATCACTTTTTATTATCAAAACAAAAAAAATAAAACTAATAATTTAAAGGACGAACAGGGTTTAAACAGAAAAAAATATACAAGGTTTCACTATGCAGAATATACATATATACGTATTCAAATGGTTTTTTCAGAACACATTATGTACATGTGTATATTCATTATTTATCAAAATATAAATACAGTAATTTTTTTTTGAAATATAAAAAAAATATATAATATATAATATATGTAATATATGTAATATATATAATATACATAATATATATAATATGTATAATATATATAATATATATAATATATATAATATATATAATATATGCAATATATATATATATATATATATATAATATCAAAATAAAAACATATTAATAAATACAATTTTAAACACAATATGTATATTTTATAATTATTTTAAAAATATGAATAACACAAAAAATGGAATGAATAAATAAAAAAAATATTTATAATGTACTGAATATAATATGTATATAATATGTATATAATATGTATATAATATGTATATAATATTATATAATGAATTCATTATAATATAGAACATCATAATGAATATAATATATATAACATAATTAAAAAATATCGATTATTTAATAATAGATATAATATAAATAAAGCATAAAAAAATTAATATATGTAAAATGTTATATTGCTGCTGTCGTAATCCGGATAGATCCACTAGTATTGTTCTTGTTGAGAAGGGTGAGCTGAGCGGCACTTAAATTTCTGTGCAGGAAACTAGTTGCAATATGTAGATGCAGTCACTTCTGGATCCTGTAGTATATTACAATGCGTTACATATACATATAATTAGCAATTTTATGATTTTAATATATATACGTTATTAGACGTGCTGTCCCTACTCATATAGGCCGATGAACATCAAATACGAAACAACAATAACTTAAACAACGATTAGAGACAAAATAAAACTAATTAGAAAATCAACAACGAAATAGCAATACTGGAAAACGCAGTACTGGGTCAACTCTTTTTATTATATTTTATAAAAATCAGTCAACCTTGTAAAATAGATAATAGTAGAATATATATATAACTAATAGAAAATAACACTGAAATATATAATATAAAAACAATAATATGTATATGTGTACATGTATCTGTAAATTGGATTAAAATAAGTTTGAACAAATTTCTTTCATTATCATTATCATTATTAGTAGTTGTTACCATTAGTTACTAGCTATGTCTGTGACTTTAGCATAGAAACTCGGTAAAGCATCGCCATCTAAAAATATAATTAAAATACTGTTGAATTATGTACAGAGTTTACGAAATAAAATATTTACAAATTACGTTTGCACAGAGTTTATAAATATTTATTTAATATATTAAAAAAAAAAAAAACAAAATATGTGTATCACTATATATTAAAGAATAACAAACTTATGAATGATAATTAACAACTTTAATTAATATTATAAAATTAAATTAAATGAAAAAAATTGAAAAAATAATTAAAAGAAATAACTTAATAAAATAAAATAATAAAATTAGAGCCGAGTTAACTTTATATTTCGGTAAACTGAGTATTATTTCCATTCATGTTCATTAAATATAGAAAATTTGGTCAGTTTAACTGAATCGAGATTTTGTTAATTTATCGATTTTCTTTGATTAACTGATGGTTTGATGGAATTTTAATAAATTCTCTTTAATTTTACGTGGGTTGGTTTTTATTTTTTTTTTTTTTTTGCAAATAAGAAATTCAACTGACAATCTATGGAATTACATTTTTGCCTAAAATAAAATTCTAATTAATTGTAAAATTGTATAATATAATAGAGTTCCTATTTGTTCACTCATGAGCAGCACACTCATGAGCAAGAGTTAATTATTACGAGAGTACAAAATTTGCGTGAGCTCATTTATAACTTAATGGCTGCTCTTGCTCATGAGTGTGAGCTTCTGTAATTGGGCTCGTTCGTATGCGCGAGAGAAGAGAGTCGCTCATGAGTAAGCAGAATGAGCAGAAGAGAGTCGCTCATGAGTAAGCAAAAACGAACTCTGATAATAATAATTATTATGAATAAAAATGAACCTAACTAGAATCTAAATTTTTTTATCTATTTATGATAAAGATGTTTTAATACAAAATATTTTTTAACTTAATTGTTAATTGTTATATTATATTATATTAAACAATCAGACATTTTGACAGAATACTGGAATAACTACTATGATTTCTGTTAATCATCAGTTAATCAACTAACTTATCGGAGTGGAAAATACTGAATTTTGAAAATCTTCGAACAATTTACTAGTGATTTAATTGGGTGTGAAAAGTCCGGTATATCTATGGATATATGTATGTATGTATATCTTTAGACATTATGTGTATATACCTAGTGTAAAATAAGGTTTAATATTGCATAGTTATATATATACATTACATCTATTGCATAAAAGTTGTACAGATATAT